ATATATATATATATAAATAACATAATAACACGCTCAATATTTTGCTTTACGACAGCTTCAGAATGACAGACATCCTCTTACATGACATCTATCAAAGCAGTAGTATATTTGCCACAGGCTCTAAATATGTTTAGGCTGTGAACGTTGTCCAGACAGTCTCTTTTCCCTCTTAGATTATTGTGGATTATACGATTATAAAACCTAATTAATCTAATCACATAGATTATGTGATTATGTAATCGAATATATTAGATTAGATGTTTATTGGGCTAAAATGATAAAGTTAAACAGTAGCTCTTGACTAAAGGGAAAAGAGTACAGAAATGCCTTTTTTTCTAGTTTCCTATAAATTTTTGCGTGACTGCTGATGTTTATCGTCCAACCTCCTGATTTGCACTGCTGTCTTTGATCAACAGGTGAGAGTGATCGACCAGGAGATGCAGGGGATTGGTGGGCAGAAGCTGGACATGCCCAGTTTGTGCTCGGCCGACCTCTGGAAAACCAGTGAGCGCTGGGATTTGATGGGAAAGGAGCTGTTCCGCCTGAAAGACCGGCACGGCGCTGACTACTGCCTGGGTCCCACTCACGAGGAGGCAGTGACGACTCTCGTCGCTCACCAGGCGACTCTCTCCTACAGACAGCTCCCACTGCTTCTTTACCAAGTAAGCATTCAGCCTGTTCTTACTTCCACTGTTTTTCCTGTAACAAGCTGCAGTTTGTTTGTTTTTTCTGACATGATTTATTTTGAAAACCCCCCAAAAAACAGATCACCCGCAAATTCAGAGACGAGCCAAAGCCGAAGTTTGGCCTTCTCCGAGGGAGGGAGTTTTACATGAAGGACATGTACTCCTTTGACGTGAGCGAAGAAGCCGCTCATCAGACGTACGAGTCTGTGTGCCAAGCGTATACTCGGCTCTTCGCCAGGTTGGGTCTGCGTTGCGTTCAGGTGCAGGCGGACACTGGAAACATCGGCGGTAAACTGTCCCATGAGTTCCAGCTGCCGGCGGACATCGGCGAGGATCGGCTTCTGGTCTGTGGGAGCTGCTCCTTCTCCGCCAATGTGGAGACCATGTCATCAGACCAGTCCAACTGTCCACAGTGTGAAACTGGGAAACTGGTAGAGTCAAAGGGTATAGAAGTAGGCCACACGTTTTACTTGGGTAAGAAGTACTCTCACATATTCAAAGCCACCTTCAGCAATGCCCAGAACAAGCCGGCTGTCGCTGACATGGGCTGCTACGGCCTCGGGGTTACGCGAATTCTGGCGGCAGCAGTCGAGGTGATGTCAACAGAAGAGGGGATCCGCTGGCCGGGGCTTATCGCTCCTTATCAGGTTTGCGTTTTACCCCCTAAGAAGGGCAGTAAGGTGGATGAGGCAACACTCCAAGCTGAGGAACTGGTCCAAGCTTTGGGAGAAACTCTGCCTCACCTGAGAGGTGAAGTTGTTTTGGATGACCGCACACAGATGACAATCGGAAAGAGGCTGAAGGATGCCAGCAAACTGGGTTATCCATATGTTATTGTAGTAGGACAGGGAGCTCTGGAGGAAACACCCAGGTTTGAGGTGATCTGTCAGCAGACAGGTGAGACTGTCTTCCTCAGTAGAGATGGACTGTTAGATCTACTGGGAAGAGTGGAAACTATATAAGTAACAAGTATGAATGTTAGAATAAATGTTTCAGTTTGTGTGTGTGAGGTGGTGGGCATAGATTATTCCATGTTTTCCAAAGCCTGTAATTTACACATTCAATAAACGTGTTTTAAACAATAGCTCTGTGATGTACCTGACCTGCATTGTACACTACAATGTAATGGAGTCCACAGCTTTGTTTTTTACAGTAATAATCCTAATAAAAACTTAATCTGTACCTGGACAAATCAGTGCTGGTTACAACCAAATTATGAATGTCGCAAAAAAGTGAGACAGCAAAGAAAAGCAAAGTTGGTAGAAATATTCCCACTGTTTAGTAGTATTTATAGTGGTATCCTACAATGCAGATATCCTTTGTAAGTAGGCCAGTATAGAGCATGAAGTACATGAGAATTTGTCACAACATGAATGTAATATAACACTGATCTCACACCAGATTGGGAGTGAGTCCTTGAAAAATTAAAATAAATGCAAGTTTATTTTTTTTAGCACAAAAATAGTTATCCCAGTGCATGTTGTAAAGCAAGGACCAAGAGTTGGGCTACAGTGCCCCCACTGTGTTAGGGTTGCTTTCCATGGTGCACACAAGTAAGGCTGAAATAATTAACGGGATAATTAGAAAAGAAACTGCCACCTATTTTAATAATACGTGGCAGTGCTTTGAGAGCCTTCCTTCTGCCGTCGGAGCTTCGTACCGTGAGGAGTGGAACGCTCTGCCGGAAGTGAGTTTCCACACGGATTCTTTCGCATGTGGCACCGCTGTTACACATGTGTAAACAAGGCAACTTGAGGAACGGTTAGCTGGACAGACTGCTGTCAGCATTAATATAAGATTTAAAAACAAGAACAAGCTCTTTAAAGTACATTTTGATCCAAAATGGCGTCCACAGTACACAGTGACAGCGACGATGGCATGGACGCGTTCATGGACAAATTCAAGACCCAGCGGTATAAAAATGCCTTCAGTGAAAACGACTGGGAGGAGGTAAGGTTGGCTTGCGGAGACTATGTGCACTAGATAGAAAGCCACTTGAACCTGAATAAAATGCGTTAGCACGTCTTTGTTCTTATGTTGGTGGTTAGCAACAAGATGCTAACATGCTCAGTATCTCGTGAAGATATCGAAAAATAGCATCAGTACCAGTGCTGGTATCGGATCGATACTAGCGCGATAGAATCGATACTTTGCTTCTGTTTTCCACGTTCAGATTGTAGCCCAATGAATTGTGTCTGAACCTTCCTGTGCTGACTGTCACATCTATTTTATTTATAGTCCACAGACACATTTAGATTCCAGCCCCCCAAAGAAAAAAATCAGTTTCAAAGTACATGAAGCTGAAAGGTAAAAATCACAGTGATTATTAAAACGTGTTCAGAGCTTACAAATTAATGATGGTTAATCTCCGACTCTGTATGCTGCCCTCAGAGGTTAAAAGTATTAAAGTGTCCATATTGGTATCGGCATTACCGGCCATGGCTTTACTTGTATCAGGTAATACCAAAATGTACTGCTGTCTCACGCAGGAGTTTAATAAAATACCCATGTTCATGAAAAACGCCCCCGAAGAGATCGACCCACAGAAATACCCAGAACTAGCCTGCCTCCAGTCCATTATCCACGACGAAGACCGGCCTCCTGAAGGTGTGCGAACCACAGCTTTCTCTCCTCCAAGGCTTTGAATGTATTCGTGAAAACAGCTGAATAAATGTGAGAAACGTGTTCTTTTCCAGAACAAGCAAAAAGCCTGAAAGATGAAGGCAATGCCTATTTCAAAGAGAAGAACTACCAAAAGGCGGTGGTGGCCTACACAGCGGGTTTGAAGAAGAAATGTGCAGATCAGGACCTCAATGCTGTCCTCCTCACCAACCGTGCAGCATCACACTTTTACCTTGGTAAAAAAAAAAGCATCCAAATGTCCTTTTGCTCTCACAAAAGATGACATTGTTTAAAAAAATATGTCTGGGTTTTTCTTTTTTCCGTGACTCAGGAAATATGCGCTCTGCTTTGAATGATGCTGCAGCTGCAAAGAAGCTCAAGCCAGACCACCTGAAAGCCTTGATCAGAGGTGGGTACTGTTTTTAACATGTACTGCTATGATATGATGACATTGTGTTACTAGGCATGGAAATCTAGTGCTGGTTTCAGTTTAGATGCTCCAGATTTCTGTCGGTTATAGCTCTTAGAAAGCAAATGAATCCCATGTTTGTGCTTCTGCAGGCGCTCAGTGTTGTATAGAGCTGCGCCACTTTTCAGAGGCCATCCAGTGGTGTGAGGACGGGCTCAAGGTTCATCCTACTGACAAAAAGCTGCGGGAGCTGAGAGCAGCGGCAGATAAGCACAAAGTAACTACACTTCAGATGATCCTTGTCTTTTTATATATTATTTTTAGAAGTGGTGAAATCTTTAAAGCGCTGAAATAAACCTTGATTTGTTTTTGGTATCGAAGAGAGCAGCAGAGAGAGATGCCAGGAAGGCCAAGGCTAAAGAAAAGAAGTTGCATGGTGACAAAGAAGCTCTTCTGAATGCCATAAAGGTAAGCATTAGAGATGGAGCATCTAACGTCGCTCACACTAATTGGCAGCTACCTGCCCCGGCCGCTGCTGTAGATTTATAGTTAGAAACCAGAAGTCCAGATGCTGCCACAGCCCTGCTGGAGGCGCCTAGCTATCAAGTCCAAGCCCAGCCACAGGCTCGTAGTTAATGGGCCCATCACTGGATGATGCGTTACCAGCGCAGGTCTCGTCTTCACCCTGGGCCAGGGCAACCGCCACAAACCATCCGATTCTGCAAGGAGCTTAAGTCAAGAGGCTGACCCTACATATTAGAAGATGCATCTTAAACTGCCTTCACTATCTAAGTGAAAAATGAACGCAGAGAACGAAATTATATCAGTTATGATTTTGGCGTCTATACACAGGATCGAGGCATCAAACTCGTGCAGCCTGCGAGGGCTCAGCGGAGCGGTTCTGACAGTGAAGATGAGGACGAACGCTCTCCTGCGGCGATAGCGGAGCTCAGCCTGGATGGCCTCAGCTCTCAGGAGGTCACCGGGGCTCAGGTCTTCGTAGATGAGCAGGGCTCTCTGCAGTGGCCCGTTCTCTTTCTCTACCCCGAACATCAGCAGAGTGACTTCATCTCGGCTTTCTGTGAAAACAGCTGGTAAACGACTCCTGCCCTCAGTGACCAAGATTGTGCTAAATTTATATACAAATATCACTGATGATCGTTTTGATTATACATTCCTCCACTCTTTGATCTGTGACCTGTTTCAGATATCGTTTGACTAAAGTAAGACACGAGATGTAACTTTTATTAGAGCAGCATAAACGACGATAGCCAGTTTTTTTTTATGTAAATGCCAACTGTGACCACTGGGAGTCACTGTTGAGCAAAAGGGACACAAAATGTTTTTAAAAGGTTTTTAAAGAATGACTCTTTTATGTAGGACAGTAAATTGAAGCAGTAAAGTGTGGAGAATAGTCACTCTTGCATCTCTCAGCTTCACAGACCACCTGGGAGTCATGTTTGAAGAACTTCCACCCTGGGACGCGGACAGAAAATACCTCCCACAAAATCTGCAGGTCTGTATGCTGGGCTTACAGGTGGGGAGGTGGGGGTGTTATTTTATGAGAACAGAGATCAATTAAAGTAATGATCAAACTTGTATAAAGCCTTTTAGTGGCTCCAGGTGGAGCCGAGTGAAGACTGGTTGGCTGTTTCAGATTGAAAATGGGGAAATGTGTTTGCTTCAGTCATCAAACTTTTCCCACAAATAACTGATGTTGTCTTTCACAGCTTTACTTTGAGGACGAGGAGAAGGAGACACTTTACCGAGTCGACCCAGAGATGTCACTTTTGAAAATACTGCAACACAAAAGGTAGATTTAATAATTTATTCTGCTGATGAGTGGTTTCAGTTTCATTTACACGATGGTCACTAAGAGCACTCCTCAAGACAAGTTCTCTTTATAATGCTCCTTTTATTAGGTGCTGCTGTGAGTTCCTTGTTATAGATGACTTCCTTCCTTATGTCAGATTTAAATGTATACCTGAGGGGTTATTAACTGTTAGAGAATTTACTTGTACCATTGTTTTCCAGCGTTGCTTGTTGTAACTTTCCTTCATGCTGGTTTCCTGATTGAATCTCTTCTGTTTTGCCAACAGGTATTTTGTGAAGGCGGGCACGCCCAGCTTCATCGTTTTAGTAAAAGGCTCTTCATACTGCAAGCAGTTTTTATCAGGAAGGAAAATACACGGACTGTAAGGAAAGGCAGAGCTTCAACTCACGCACATGAAAACCTCTGACATTCTCAATAACTGACTCATCAAACGTCACTGAAAATAAAACATGAGGTTTTGTAACATGAACTGTTTACACTCTTTATTTCTTTCTGTGAAAAACGGGTGAGTGTTGAAGTGTGTGAATTATTGCGCAACAGTCATCTCATCTATATATTCTAAGGTAAGACCCTTCATAGCATTAGAGAGAAAACAATCAGAAGATCCCCTTTGAGCAATCACTGCTGTTAGTCCAATAGTCACACAACTGGCATAGTAACTCCAACTTTAATGGTCGCCTTCTTTCGTACAACCACAGAAAAAAACTGACCCTCCAAAACTCTTTTACTGCCCCTTTCCCGCCTGCACGTAGCCATGCCCCCCCCCTCACTAGACATTTGCGCAGTAGGACACATCTTAACACCTGCGATGGCGGGAAGAAAAAAACAGGAAGAAAGTGAAATATGATCTCTCTGCTCCCTGTCAGCACTCTCACTGCAGCAGTTTGCTTTTCCTGATTTTGGTTTCAAATCCTTCAGATTTCATTTTTGAGTCTGAATGTTTTCTTTCTTCTACATCAGGCCAACATTTTTGCAGCACTCCTTCCAAAATCAGTAAGATTTTGATCAAAGAAGTCAACTTCTTGGTGTCTTTAAGTTTTCATTTTTTGACATTTGTGAAAAAGGTTTAGATTAATAATAATGATGATAATAATAATAATAATAATAATATAGTTTAGTAATAATAGTTTATAGTTTAGATTTTGCTCCCAGCTGTATAACCCTATTGTTGCAGCCCTACCAGACACAGCGCCGCCTCAGACCCTCAGGCAGGCTCTTTTAGCTTTACATGTTTTACTTATGTGAAGCATTCACTTAAGTGTTTTTCACAATGGCTAAAATAACAAACTGGTGTTAAACAATCTTTTCCAGCTTGGAAGCCACGCCTCCTGTGACACTGCTGTGTTACAGTGGATAAGTCGGCCATGTGTGAGATCTCTGAAGCTGTTTGCATTGATAGTGTGATTTGATAAGCTCTTTATCTGCACACAGTTTCCAGGTCAAATTAAGCCCATGCTTTCTGTTTTGTAGGACATCACGTTCAAGCTGACAGAGATTCATTCATTCATTCATTCATAAATGAGATCATAAATGTCTTGGATTTCATATTTTTATTGATGAAAAAACACTTTACATCAGTTTTAGCATCAGAGCAGATCTAACACCACGTTTAGCTCTCTACATGCAACTATGTTTTTCTCATTAGCAGAAAAATTAATAGACTAAAATTCAATCCTCTGTATTATTACTGAAGCTATGCAGTGACTAATCTAAAAAGGCGACTCATGCATTTAAACTAAATGTAATTTTTATGATTATTAGGAAGCTGATAGAAATATTTAACGATACTCTCAATTCAAAATGACTTCATTGTCTCGTATCACTGATAGAAACATCAACACAAACTCGGATTTCGTCACTGTGTGATCACAGTGACTGCTGGTTGAGCCATATAAGCAGCTGGCATTGGTTGTACAGGCATCATCATCATGGGTGCCTGCATGACTGGAAAAGGCTGCATGTTCACAATGTTGTTATTCTGTATGTTGATGACAGTGGGGGCTTGCTTACGATGCTTTAACTCACGATGCATCTGACACCAGGAGCACGTGGCGCAGAAACTGGAAATTACAATATCGTTAAGGAGAGAGCCCTGCAGAGAGACGGTAAAACCATTATTTCTTTCTTTCTCCTTTTCTGCTTCATGATATTGTCTCATTGTCACTGCTTCATACCTTGATGCCATATCTGTTTCGCATGGCAGCCCTTATAGATAAAACTGCAGGAGGTGGACAAGTAGGGATCCCATAGAATGAAGGAGCAAACATTAAATCAAATAAAGGGAGAAGATTGTTCTCTCCAAACCTTCCTGCGACAGTTAGGGTGAGGCAGGGGCTGCACCAAAAACCATAGCAGCCTGAAAAACAGAAATACATCACCAAAGTGGTAACATGTCTGAAGTGCCTACGACCCCAGAAATGACAAGAAAACGATCTTAAACTTTTTCTTACAAGTACTCGCGTCCTCAAAGCAATCCAAGAGACCACTGTCCCAGTCTGTCAAGGGTTTTTCTGCCATTGTGTGTTGAAGTTCAGCCACAGACACTAAATAATTACTCTGTAAAAGCAGAATGTAGTAGAGAAAACCCAAATACAACAATTGCAATGAAAGTCAGCTTTATACATCTTTGTCTTCTTTCAGCTGAGACGGAAAGCTAAAGAAAGATTCCTTGCATTTGACTTTGTCGATGTTTTTAATATTGTACTGTTAAATGTTTGGTCACGATTATAAGTATACTGTTTTATCAAGATTACAGAATTGAGTCTGTTTCCAGGAAATGGAGTAACATATAGGATGGAGGGAAACATGCAAACAACTTGCAAATGATATAAAAAGAGAGCACATGAAAACATGAAATGTGGACAAAGAAGTTGCTAGTTTTCCATGAATACTGTTGTAAAAAAATAGGAACATGTTACACATGTTGTTGTTTAGGGTACATCACTTGTGAATCGGGACATGTTATATATAGCTACTTTAACATAGTCCGATTGATTGCAAGGCTAATTTATGACGTTTTTATATTTCTATTTAACCCTTTCAGGCACAGTGTCACTACAGTGGTCAGCTATTGATGGTATACTTCAACATAAACTACATTGGACACTGATGTGTAACTCCGTACCCTGCCGCACACTGGTCAGCCAGTTGTCCACCTAAGTGGAGATGTTAAACTCTTCTGAAAAGTACATGTTTTAAAAAAGCGAAGATCAAAAATCTTTTTTTTCATGTCTAAAGATGAATAAAAATACTTAAGAAAAAGAAATCCAGATTGACACTGTCACTATTCATGCATGAAAGGGTTAAGTTTCTATTGTATATTCACCCTCCATCCATAATAAAGAAACCTGAACAAGTGAAATATCAGAATCTCTGATAAATGAAATAACTGAACTGGCAGCATCATTAACACCAAGCACTAAAGAAAAAAAAAAGAGATGACACAACAAACTCTTCACTTACTTCTTATTCTGCACTCTGATGTCTCTCCTCTCCAGCACTCAGTCACACTCTGTTCTTCTTTATCAAAGGAGGTCATGACACACAGTCCAGTGAAAACATTGGACATGTGAGCATGACTGGTACTGAATGTATTTGAATATTCAAACAAGTATTTTAAATTGGCTTCACAGAAGTTAAGTGACTGAGAGTGAACTACTGAAACCAGTGGTTTGATGTAAACAGAGCAGAGCAATGCTCTAATACATATAAATAAAGACTGAACGAATAACTGAATAAACATATAACTGACTGCTGGATTGTAGCCTTTTAGTAAAACTTTGTAACCACTGAGAGAACTCTGGGTTCAGGATGAAGGCTACGAGGTCAAGCCTGTCATCATCACTAAAAGCAGCTTGTTAAAAACACTTTTAAATTTAGAGTTTCAGCATGAAAACGACTGCAATTTGTAACTCTTGTGCTTATTTGTGGTCATAGATCAACAAAGTCAGGAAAGTGAAAGTGATGGAGGAAGAGAGCCAAGAGCTGTGGCTGTGAAGAGTTTGCTGAGTTTTCTTGGGAAAACAGAGATGGGAAAGTTGACCTGTGGTTATGCTTGTTCCTGGTAGAGGTGTTAGGGTTTAGTTTACATCAGTGTGCTTACCATCTTTCTCTCTTTTAACCGCGGTCAATAAAGTGTCTTTTGTTGTGTGTGGAGAATGCCCACAAACACCCAAATATAATACATTTAGAGACTGTAGTAGTTTGTGGGGCAGAGCTTCACTTTCATGCAGTGTTTGGGTGAATCTGATATTTAAAATGAACAGAGCCTTTGTCTACATAGCAACGATGTTTGCATGTTTGAAAGAAGGTGTGCCAAACTATGAGTAGGTGTCTGTTGCACGGGTTCTTTTTCCTTGTTTCTCCAGATATCAATTCCTTGTTCAACTAAAATGATAACACTGTAAACTAGTACATTTGAAGGATTACATTTAGATTCCCAAAGCTTCATTATTTTATTTGAAGTTATACTATATCCATTCTGAGATATGCACACAAGTATGGTTTTAAGACAAATGCAGCAGTACGAGTGTGCTGGTTTGGGACAAAAATGTCATCTACCTACCAACAAGCAGAGGGTAAATAGAAATCCTGTCCATAGGCTTGATTTTTTGCATTTGCGCAATATCTCTGTTTTAGAAATCACATGACTATCCAGCATTGCAACCAGGAAGGAGTTGCAGTCTTACACACCTCGTACTGATTTTATATAGTGGAGAGTACAGGGTGGGCCATTTATATGAATACACCGTAATAACATGGGAATGGTTGGTGATATTAAAGTCCTGTTTGTGGCACATTAGTATATGTGAGGGGGCAAACTCCTCAAGATGGGTGGTGACCATGGTGGCCATTCAGAAGTCGGCCATCTTGGATACAACTTTTGTTTTTTCATTAGGAAGAGGGCCATGTGACACATCAAACTTATTGGTAATGTCACAAGAAAAACAATGGTGTGCTTGGTTTCAACCTAACTTTATTCTTTCATGAGTTATTTACAAGTTTCTCTTTGTTCACAGCCATTGACATGTCGAAGAGGTTAACATGTGAGGAGAGGATCAAAATTATGTTGATATCTGGTGAACGCAGTAACCGTTTCATTGCAGCAGATTTCAATGCAAGACACCCTACGAGACCACCC